TCTTTCTTTCTTTCTTTCTTTCTTTCTTTCTTTCTTTCTTTCTTTCTCTCTCTCTTTCTTTCTCTCTCTCTCTCTCTCTTTCTCTCCTTCTTTCCTTCTTTACTTCTTTCCTTCTTTCCTTCTTTCTTTTTGTCAATTTCAGACAGAGAATCAATATTCTTCAACAGCCACAACGTGTCAAAACCAGAGTCATCTTCCGTCCTGACAGCAGTAAGTACCTGTCTTTCCACCGCTGGAATTAGCTATGCACATGAATGCTTTCCGTGGAGTACATTTTATAGGATAGAGTCCAGAAGGTTGAATGGTCATGTGGGAAGTTAAGGTTAATTGAGACTACTTGCAAGACAGTCACAATTTAAAGTAGGTTTTATTATTTGCTTTGGACTTTCTCCCTAGCAACAATCATTGCAGTATCCAAGCATTATGAAGAGTTCTGTAAGGAGCAATAATGGATACCCTGGGAGAGAATATATATAATTAGGGTATTTCTCCTGGAAGATTTTGAATTGCTTTTATATCTGTGAGCCACAGGGTAATTTGGTGAGAGCTTTTTGCTCTCTATTTTCACAAGATTTTCAGGGGAAAAAGAAATTACTTTGATTTTTTTTCTCCTCTCCTCATATCATTTATGTTTCTCTATTATCATCCCTGTGCATTTACTTGCAGACCATAGTTATATCAACCTTCAGACTTTATTTCTCTATTGAAAATAGTGCTGTTTACCTTTACTTTTCTCCATCTCATTTTCCAAACTTTTAATCATTTTTACAACTTTTCTGGGTTCTCTCCTTTCTAAGGTCTTGAGCACCAACAGATATACATTAAATAGTTAACATGTGCCCCCCGTGCTGGGGGAGATGAAGATAAATAAGATCTCTTTCCCTCATGGAACACAAAATCTGGTAGTAGTATAGTGTGTGCGTGTGCGCACATGTGTGCACACTTTCTCTCTCTCTCTCTCTGTCTTAGAAAACCTGGATTTCAGTGCCAGCTGTGCCACTTCATACTTCTCTGATTTTGGTCAAGTTATTTAACTTCTCTGGACCAGTTTCCTCACCCACGACATTGAATGTATTGGTCTAGGCAATCCCAAAAGTTCTGTCAGTTCTAAATCTTAATACGCCATAAGCTGTGTTAGAAAACAATACATGATGAATGCATAAGAGGTACAAATCAAGTACTTTATGATGCTTGTGATTCCTGTTTCCAAGCAAGCCTGAGTTGTAATTGAAAGATGATCTTAAGGGTACTAGTATGTTACATAGTTATGAAAGAGTTAGACGACATACTTGAATTGGAGTCAGAAAGACTAGGCTTAAGTCCCAAATCTAAATTGGTAATAGTAATAACAACGATAATATGCATAATAATAATAATAACCAGTACTTAAATAAAACTTTAATAGTTGCAAAGTACTTTGCAAGTAACTCATTTTACCCTCACAACCAACTTGGACAGTAGGTGCTATTTTCGTCATTTTATGAGGAAACTGAGACAGAGGTTAAGTGATTTGCTTAGTCGTCGCACAGTAAATATCTGAGGTTGAATTTGAACTCGGAGCTTGCTGTCTTCATTTTTATCTACTATGCCACATAGCTTCCCCTAAAGGTATGAGATCTTGTGTTTCTGCATGTTTCATTTTCCTCATCTATAATCCTGGTGCTCCCTATCCTACAATATTTTAATGAGGGAACATTTGTAAACCTTAAAGTGCCCTGCATTATAAGGGATTCTTCTATTTAGAATTAGCACCTCACAACTGGCCTTGCTTGATAACATTGCCAAGTCATCTCTCTCTCTCTCTCTCTCTCTCTCTCTCTCTCTCTCTCTCATCATTCTTCTCATTCCTTGCTAAAGCTTGTTCCACCAGGAATTGCAAATTTTTTGTCTTGATCCATTTTATCTTAATCCTTTCACATAGCTCCTATCTACTCCTAATCTTTTTATTTTGAATTCTGTGGTGTATTTCACATTTAGCAGAATCCCAAAGCACATAAGAATTTTATACACTGTAGAGTTGGACAGAGTTCATGTTATGGTTGTGGTCTTTTTTACCTCTTGTGTTGTAAAATCCAGAGTGACTAAGAGATTGTAAATTGTGGCCTTATTATGTCATAGCTATATAACCCTAAACAAATCTCATTAATCTCTCTGGGACTCAGTTTCCTTCTCTCTCGAATGAAAGAGTTGTTTCTATAGGATCTCTGAGATCCTTTGAAGTTGTCATGTTGTAGTTGTAATATTCTGTTTTCAGAGTTTTTGTTTTTGTTTTTCTAGCTTGAAGATGTTTTGAGATTATGTTATTCTTAGGTTTCTCTCAGCTTCAATAATCTATGATTCTTCTACTGCTTGGTTTTGTTCACTTCCTGTGCTCTAGGGGGCTGCAATAGCTTAGTAGTTGTGTGAGAATATGGGCAGTGCAATAAGGCCTGATGCACACATTTGATGGGCAGTGCTGGCCTCTAACACAGACATTCCTTCAGAAAGGTGGGCTGGTACCCTGATGGTGCTGGTTTCCTTTTCAGAAATCCCATATGATTTGCAGTATTTAAAAATAGACAAGTGAAAGGAAATTACCTGTTCCCTTTGCCATATGAGGCAGCTCTAAAAATATCACCCACAGGACCCCTATGGAACACTTGCTTCACAAAGGTCTCTCTCCCCCCGGGCTCAGGTGGTGAGAATTAGTATTAGAAATGCCTGCCTGTGTCCTCCATTGCCACATGTATCTCTCCCCGGTCATGCATCATAAAGATCAGCGTATAGCCAGTGTATAAGTCAGTAACAACAAAGCATAGAGAGGAAAGTGTGATACATCTAAAAGCAAGGAAGACCTACATTTCAGCCCCACGGCTGACATTTACTGGCTGTGAATTAATATATGTAAAGTACTTTTTAACATCTTAAAGTGCTTTATAAATATTCAGATTACTATTTAAAGCACCTAAGTTACATAGTCCATAGAATGCCAGACTTGAAGTCAGGAAGAACTGAGTCTGTATCCTGCCCCAGACACTTATGAGCTGCGGATCCCGGGTAAATCACTTAACTTCTCATAGAGGCAATTTTCCATGTGTGTAAAATGAGGATAGTACTAGCACCTACATGACAAAGTTATGAGGACAGCTAGGTGGTACAGTAGATAGAACATTGGGCTTGGAATCAAGAAGGGTTATCTTCTGGAGTTCAAATCCAGCCTCAGACATTTATTAGCTGTGTGACCCTGGGCAAGTCACTTAACCCTGTTTGCCTCAGTTACTTGTCTATAAAATGAGCTGGAGAAGGAAATGGGAAACCATCCCATTATCTCTGCCAAGAAAACCCCAGATGGTATCTCGGAGAGTCAGACCTAACTGAAACAACTGAACATCACCACCACCACAAGGTTATTGTGAGGATCAAACAGTATGTAAAGTGTTTCAGAATGTTAACTTAAGTGCTTCAAAAATATTAGCTTCTTCTCTTTCTTTTCCCATTTTAACTCTGAGCCTCGCTTTTCTCATCTGTCAAATCATCATAATAACCTATAGTACCTATGTGACATGGTTGTTGTATGGATCAGAAGTGGTAGTGTATGTAGAATATTTCACAAACCTGTATAGATACCAGCTTTTAGTCATGGTAGTTAGCATATAGTTTATATACATCGTAGTATGTAGATACTCAACCAAACGCAGGACAGCAGTCATCAGATGTTAATTGTATTTACTTATGTAAATGCTATAAAGTTTTTATAGAGTTCAACTTTTAGAGGTAGGTATGGTGAAAGTATTATATTTTACAGTGAAGGAAACTGAGGCTTCATATTCTAACCTAGGTAGGTCTTCTCATTCTTAGTGTAGGTGTAGTGCCCATCCGTTTACCTTGTTGGAATGTGGATTGAGGAGGTAAAATTTATGTTCCAGGTATAATACACCCTGCTTTTTTATGTATTACTTTAAGGTTTAAACTATGTTGGGTTTTTTTTTCCCCACAATTCCTTCTTGAGGTTAACATTGCAGATATTATTATCATCTTCTTAAATATAAAATGGGAACAATAATTTTTATTTGTTTGAGTATTTTTATGGGACAGCTAGGTGGCCCAATGGAAAGAGTGCCAGGCCTGGAGGTAGGAAGACTTATCTTCCTGAATTCAAATCTGCCCTCAGATACTTACTAGCTCTGTGATCCTAAGTAAGTCACTTACCTTTTTTGCCTCATTATTCTTATCTGTAAAATGAGCTGCAGAAGGAATGGCAAACTACTCCAGTATCTTTGCCAGGAAAACCTCAAAGAGGGGTCACAATGAGCTGGATATAACTGAACAATAACAACAAAATAATATTTGCATCATCTACATTATAGAATTTTTGTCAGAAAAGCACTTTGTAAACCATAAAATACTATAGAAATGTGATGTATTGTGATAGTTAATAAAGTTTTTGTTTTGTTGAGTTGTTTCAGTTGTGTCTGACTCTTCATGCCCCTATTTGTGGTTTTCTTGGCAAAGATACTGGAGTGGTTTGTCATTTCCTTCTCCAGATCATTTTATAGATGAGGAAACTGAGGCAAACAGGGTTAAGTGACTTGCCCAGGATCACACAGCTAGTAAGTGTCCGGGGCTAGATTTGAACTCAGATTCTTCTGACTCCAGGGCCAGCACTCTATCCACTGTACCACTTAGCTGTCCTAGTTAATAAACTTAGTAAGATCAATAAGATATTGTAATCAAAAGGATTACGGACTGTGCAGTACTTTCACTTTAGGTTCGGATCTCAGGATATAATGACACGTACTCAGTACAACCTTAACAATCACGTTTATTTTACAGTGATTAATAATGATTAAGGCAACACAAGCATATGAATATGAAAATAACATTCAATGCAATAAGTGATAATCAAAATCAAGAAAAGAAAGGATACACACTCACTGACCAGGCGAGCTCAAATACCTACAAGACTGGGGAGTCTAGAGATGATCAAGAGGTCTGATCAGGAGGCCGAAGGAGCAGTGTCCTGCTCCTACTCAACAAGGGCGGTGCACGCAATCTGCCCCTGACAGCAACAGCAGAGATTTGTTGTCCCTATCTCTGACATCAGAGTACTCCAAAAAATCCCCTTTCAGATGCTCCTTTTATATCTATGTAAACCAGGGGAAAACAATCTTAATATTTTGTTTTGTGTACATATCCTTGGTGAGCTCAGGTCCTGGATACATACACATTTTAACAAAGGTGGGAGCTTGATCAGAGCCCCAGATACCTGTTTGTTGTGTAAATCTCCAAGGAGGGATCAAGTCCTTTCACAGTTATACATTTCTCTCAAGAAAAATGTTCCTTGAGATAAGAATTGCTTCCCCCGGGTAACATAGTTTGTTGGTTACTTAATGTTCCGTCTCCATGGTACCCTTGCTCCAATTTACATTCTTTATGTCAGATCATGAGGTGGTTACACGAGGGGCTGGGGAAGATCTTCCTCAGTTTCCCTCACAGATATTAATAAATATTACTTTATATTAATAAATGTTAATAATATTAATAAATAATAAGATATCTTAAAGCAATTTATGAAAACTATATTGCCTGATAGACATTTTCACAAATGTTGGGTGTCACCTGGTCTTGTTTTTATAAACTTTAGTGTGTCCATCTGGGCAAGAATTTGAGATTTCATTTTATTTTTTTATCTCATACTTTACTCTTTTTGCTGAGCTAGTTCCATTAGGGCCAAAGCATTTGACCTTTACCTTGATGAGAATAGTCCAAGAGACGAACTTAATGAATTATTAATGTCACAAGACACAGTTGGGGCTCAGAGCTGTGGCAACATATATTCTTTTAAAAAAAAAAAAGAATCTAAGAGTGTTAAAATGAGAGGTGTCACATGGGGTTCACATAGTACGTAGTTTCTGTTGACTTATGGCCCGGTCCCAGGCTTGGAACAAGGAGGGTTGACCCTTAAATGTATGGGTGCATAGTTTAAGGACCCCAAATTAAATGTGTTAAAATACTGTTTTGCTGCCCAAATACCTATCTGTTAGTTTTCTTGCAGCTGTTGAATCATAGATCTTTCTCTAAAAGATACAGCCATGTGGTTCCATTTTCCAAGTCTCCTTTCGTTTTAGATGTGTTAGCTCTATAAGTCATCATGCCTCATATTCTATGGGCATGAAGGAACTCAAGAGATACCAGCATGGGTTTATTGAGTGCTAACATTGTGCCGGAGCCGTGTTAAAAAATACAAAAGAAATGTAAGGTATGATTGTTGCCTGCCATGAATTTGTAATCTATTTGGGCAGAGAAGACAAGCATGCGTAGAAAAGGCTGATGTCTAATCTCTCATGAAGAGAGGATAGACTAGGTCTGTGTGACTTTAAAGAATTAAACTAGGCCCAGCAGGTAGAAGAAATAAGGAGAGAGATTCAATATATGAGAGAACTCACTAATAATAAGAACTCACTAATAGGCTGTCCAGATATAGGTAATATAGGACAGTGAACTTAGAGATTATCCCTTCTATCCTTCTCATTTGGAGAGGGAGGGGGGAGGAATAAGCATTTATATAGTACCTACTGTGTGCCAGGCCCTGTGTTAAGTGTTCTTTACAAGTATTATCTTATTTGATCCTCACAACAACCTGTGAGGTAAATACTGTCATTATTCTCCTTTTAAGGTTGAAAAAACTAAGGCAACCAGAGATTAAGTGATTTGGCCAAAAGGCACACAGCTAGGGAGTGTCTCAGGCTGTATTTGAACTCAGATCTTCCTGACTCCAGGCCCAGCACCCTGTTCACTGTGTTATCTAGAGAGGTTAAGTAACTACCAGTGTCACACAGATTATAAGTAGATGAATCAAACCCAGATCCCTTGAGTCCAAATTCAGTTTTCTTTCTACTATACTGCACTCTCTTTTTATGTAGTGAGCTCCCTATTCCTGGGACTCTTGAAACTGGTGAATGGCTGCCTGCGGCATGCCCCCCCATCAAATTAAATGCTGTTGAATTAGTGCTTCTCATAGGTCAAAACAAATGACCTCTTCATTCATTTCCAGCTCAGTTTCTGTGATTTACTTATTCAGTTCATTCCAGAGCTGTGTGAACTTAGGCAAGTTACCTAACTTTCTGGGTGTGTTTTCTCATCAGGGAAATGATATTGAACCATTTGATCTCTTAATTTATCTCCCAGTTTTGTGATTTTTGTGCTTTGCTAAATAAATACAATGCTATTGTCCAGAAGTCTAAAATCCCTTCTTAGGCACCATCTCATTGATAGGATTTTATTTATAGCTTTTGCATCAAAATTCATTAGTAATATTGGTCTACAGTTTTCTTTCTTTACTTAATCCTTTCTTGGTTTTGGTATTATGACACAATTTCTGATACTATTTTAGCGAATTGTTAACTTTTCAAATTTGAATCCTGAATCCTCTGCCTTCATTCAACAGTTATGATGAAAATATTACCTGTGCTGTAAAAAAGGCTTATTTTTTTTGCCCAGAACTTTGCTTTCTAGGTTCCTTTTTGGTGTTATCAAAAATGGTATTATTTGATGTTAGCCTAATGATATCCCAGGGTCTTTGCCTACAGGTGTCATTGTCCTGGGATCTCTGTCTCTCCACTCTCTGAACTGAATATCTTTAAAAAGTTTATTTGAAGATATTTTCATGCCGTGCTTGCCTCAAGTAGTTTGTACTTTTTTCCCTGGGTATAAAAAATTAAAGCTGTACCTAGTCAATGTAGTCTGGAATAATCAGGGAAGACTTTACAGTGGAAGTGGAATTTGAGCTGGATCTTGAAGGGTGAGGAGAATTTAAATAAGCAGATCATGAGCCTAGGGAGGAGCCTCTTTGGGAAGCACAAATCAAGACATAAATCTTATTGAAAATTCGATTATCTTCTTCCTTTCTTCAAAACAGTTGAATGCTTCCAAGTACATCACACTTGAACTTTTGTGTTTCTTTTTGGTAGCTGGACAAAATAGAAGGCGTATTTGAGAAGCCCTCAGATGAGGTCATCAGGGAGATTTCCAAGGCCCTTCGGCAAGCACTTGGTGTATCGCTGTTTGGGATCGACATCATTATTAACAACCAGACGGGACAGCATGCAGTCATTGATGTCAACGCATTCCCAGGTAAAAGCTGCCCAGCTTCCCAAAGTCATGAACCCTATCTATTCACTGATGGGCTGTTTAGCTAGTTAACAGAACATCATTCTCTTTGCCTCTAGACCTGACCAGCTATCTATTATTAGAGCTAGAAGAAGTCGTATTGATCATCTTACTCAGTCCTTTCATTTTACAGATGGAGAAACTGAGTTCTTAAGAGCAGAAGTGACTTAAGGATTTAACTCTAGAAGGGTCCTTGGATATCATCTGGTTCTAGCCTGAACTGAGTGTTAGGTTAAATGTTTTGCCCAGAATCATACAGCTACTAGGAGGCAGAGCTGGTCCAGGTGTTCCTCAGAGATCCAGTTCTAGGCTATCTCAGTAAAACGAGTCACATGAATTTTTTGGTTCCCCAGTGCATATAAAAGTTATGTTTACACTATACTGTAGTCTATTAAGTGTACAATAGTATTATATCTAAAAAAAAAGTGCATACCTTAATTAAAAATTTCTTTATTGATAAAAATGCTCACCATCATCTGAGTCATCACATGGTGATGTCATCATGTCTTTGCTGGTGGAAGGTCTTGCCTCGGTGATTATGGCTGCTGACTGATCAGGGTAGTGGTTGCTGAAGGTTGGGGTGGCTGTGGCAATTTCTTAAAATAAGATGACAGTGGAATTTGCCACATGAATTGACTCTTCCTTTCACTTGAATACTTAGAGGTCATTGTAAGGTTATTAATTGGCCTAATTTCAATATTGTTACGTCTCAGTGAATAGGGAGGCCCAAGGAGAGGGAGAAAGAGAATGGCCGGTTGGGGGAGAAGTCAGAACAAACGGCATTTATTGGTTAAGTCTGCTGTCTTATATGGGTGCAGTTCATAACACCCCAGAATAATTATAATAGTACCATTAAAGATCACTGATCATAGATCACCATGACAGATATAATAATGAAAAAATTTGAAATGTAGGGAGAATTACCATAATGTGACATAGAGACACAATGTGAGCACATGCAGTTGTGAAAAAATGGCACCAATAAACTTGCTCAATCTGGGGTTGCCACAGACCTTCAGTTTGTTAAAAAACAAACAAAAACCCCACAATATCTTTGAAGTGCAATAAAACAAAATGCAGTAAAACAAAGTATACCTGTATTCACACGCAGGCCCTCTGATTCCAAAGCCATTGTTCCTTCCTCTTCCTGGAGACTGTATCTGTAACTTAGCAGGACATGTTGTTGGTCATAAGGGCAAGAAAGGGAGTGGATTATATCAGTACTATCAGGCAACTCATAAAGTATATGCTGCCTCTTCAGTGGCTTAGTAATGCCAATTTCTGTACCAAGGGTAATATATTACTGTCACCATTAGGATTGCTCAGAGAGGTATATGCATAGCATGGTGGAGAGAGGAGCTGGCCTTGAAGAAGGGAGACTTGGGTTCAAATCTTGCCTTTAGCACCCCACATGTGACTCTGGCAGCTCTCTAAGACTTACAGAGAAGGTGATGTCTTACATTAGTAGAGGGAGTTTACTCACCTGGGAATTCCTTATACAAGTAAAATCCCAGATCCAGTCCCTAACCCTAAACTGATGATTGTTCTGTGTAAATGCCACTAGGAATTCAGTGTTATATAATGGGAATAGCTCTTGTCTTGGATTTCTTAGAAGTCCTGGGTTTGAATCCTGGCTCTGATGCTTATTTTGTGACCTTGAGAAATCACAAATTTTCCTCTGATTTTCAGTTTTCTCATCAGAATAATAATTTTCTAAATTTCTTCATGGAATTGTCATGTAGCTCAGGTGAAATAATAATCCCTACAGCACTTTGTGACTATTTAGTGTTGTATAAACATCCCCCATTATTATTATTGTCATTGTCATTACTGTGCTGTTTGCTGGGGCAGAAATTCTGTCTGGCTTGCCTGGACAGTTGTTGAGAGTTTATATCAATTACAGTTGACACGTCAGACTTGCATACCTCGTGCTTTGATAGACAGTTGTGTAGGGTAGCACGGGAGGGATGCCATTAAACACAAAAGCCTTTTCCATGTTCACTAATGTCACGTTTCTATTTTGTCCACGTGAGATCACGTTTCCCACTTGAGCTTATGAGCTCCTATGGTGAAAATAAGATTTGGAGGGTACAGGTCCTGGGCGTGAATGTGCCCTTGCCACTAACTGGCTGTGTGACCTTGGATTAGTTACTGTAGGCCTCAGTTTCCTGCTTTGTAAAATGAGGGACTTGGCCTAGATGATCTTTTCAGCTATGAATCCTTAAAGGAAGCCCAGGTGAAGGGTCAGGTCAGGAGGTTTGGAGTCTTTTGTGCCTCTAGGCTTCCCATTCTGGGCCACATCAAAGGCTCCATGGAAGGATCGTGAGCCGTGGAATTCTGCCCAACAGTGGTTAATGTGTTCTTTCCTTTATGGTCATAGATCATAGATTTTAGAGTTAGAAAAGACCTTAGAAAACATCTAATCCAACCCCTACGCAGCACCAGGCCTGGGGTCAGGAAGACTCATCTTCCTGAGTTCAAATCCAGCCTCAGACACTTACTAGCTGTGTGACCCTGCACAAGTCACTTAACCCTGTTTGCCTCAGTTTCCTCATCTGTAAAATGAGCTGGAGAAGTAAAGGGCAAACCACTACAGTCTCTTTGCCAAGAAAACACCAAGTGGGGCTACACTGGATTTTATAATAATGATGATGATAACATTTGTGTGGCACTTCATATGTGCCACACACTGTAGGAAGTATACTGCAAGTATTCATTTATTTATTTATTTGTTTGTTTGTTTATTTATTTATTACTTTTTTGGTGAGGCAATTGGGGGTTAAGTGACAGCTGCCCCCCATAGGGAATAAGGATTTATTTATTTATTTGTTTGTTTGTTTAGCTAGGCAATGGGGTTAAGTGACTTGCCCAAGGTCACACAGCTAGTAAGTGTCAAGTGTCTGAGGCCAGATTTGAACTCAGGTCATCCTGACTCCAAGGCCAGAGCTCTATCCACTGTGTCACCTGGCTGCCCCCTTTTTAATATGCCATTTTATAATTATTTTCTCATTTGATCCTCCTAATTACCCTGTGAGGTAGGAAATGGGGATGATCATAGCACCTGCTTTCCAGGGTTGTTTTGAGGATCAAATGAGGTAATTATAAAGCGCTTAGCACAGTGCCTGGCACACAGTAGGCTCTATAGAAATGTTATCATCATCATTAATATTAACATCTAGTGCAACCTCTTCATTTTAGATATGAGGAAACTTGAGAGCCAGACAGCTTAGGTGATTTGCCCAAAGTTATGTAGTTAGTAGCAGAGCTATCGTTATCCCCATTTTACAGATGAGGAAACTGAGGCAAACAGGATTAAGTGACTTGTGCAGAAGACAGAGGTTAAGTGAATTGTTCAAGGTTACATAGCTAATAAAATCCAATTCTCTTCAATCTATTTGGTCATAGCTCTTCTGCCTTTGTTCACCCTAGATCATTATTCTGGAACAGTCTGTAGATTTTGTCTGTAAACTGCCCTGCTCTTCAGATGAGAGTACCTGTAAACCCCGAAAGGAAAAAGCAACAGGTTTTCTACCAACTTTCAAGTGTATCTGATTTCACTGTGAGATAGCCAGAAAGCAGATCAGTTTTCAGAGAGAGAGAGAGTGTGTGTGTGTGTGTGTGTGTGTTTTCCACTTACCTTGTTGATTCAGGCTTCCTTATGAAGCAAAAAACAAGCTTTTAAGCCTTTGGAAAATCTGAGTCAGGATGAAATTGAATAATACGTGTGGTAGAAAGGCAGAACAGACCCTCTTAACTGTCATTGGGGAAGTGCTTTGCACAAGGATGAGAATTTTGCTTCTCTCTCCTAGGTTCTTGGTGCCCACTTTGACCCTGAACAGAGTAAGGTCCTGGGGCTGGGGCTGAAGGAAATAGTCTGCCCAGCTGTGAGAGATCCACTGTACCTTAACAGAAGAAGCAGGACAGGGCACTAGAATCAATCAGCCAGTAATTATTAAATGCCTGCTATGTGCCAGGCACTGTTCTTAGCACGGGAGATACAAGTACAGAGAATAAAGCTGTCTGCGCTCACAGTGAGTTTACATTCTAATGGGGGTAGGGAGGTGACACTGAATATAAATAAAATATATAGAGAGCATAAAATATAATGTGAATACACACACATAGTAGTTACATACAAGGTAAAAAGGAGGAAGGGAAAGCTCTCACAGTTGTGGGGCTTAGAAAAGGCCACACGCAGAAGATGGTGTTTGAGCTTCAGCTTAAAGAAGGAGAGGAGATTCTGAGGTCCAGTGAAGGACAGAGTCTATCATTCCAGGCAAGAGTGCCCAGTGAGCTTAGAAAAATAGGATGGCTCTGATTACGTGGGTTTTGAAAAGCTAAAGAGAGGAGTTTATTTTTTTTATCCTGGAGACAGTATGAAGCCTCTGGGGTTGGTTGAGTAGGAGTAATCACCTGATTACATCTGAGCTTGAGGAAGGTCACTTGTTGCTGTGTATATTGTGGACTGGAGGGGTCAGAGACAGATTTGAGGTCGGGGGTCCAAGTAGGAGGCTGTTATAGAAATCTAGTCAAGAGGTAATGAGGGCCTGGACTGAGCTCTAAGGTGCTAGGTGTTGGAGTGGATAGATGTGAGCTTCAGTTTTCTTATCTGTGAAATGGGAGATGATGTTTGTACGATCCACCTCCTAAGGTTGCTGCAGGGGTCAAATCACATAACTGCCACAGTGCTGTGAAAGCTGCACACTGCCCTGTGCAATCTCCGAACTGAAAACTGCCCACAAAATGTGTGGGATTGTCGCTTCTGCTGTTGAGTCATCCATTTGGATCCTTGTGTTTGGTTGCATTTGCTTAAAAATATGCTACAACAACTAGTCCTTTCTTGGTCACGAGCTAGGGGCAATGTGGTCTAGTTGCTAAAATGCTGGCCCTTCACCAGCATTCACTTTGCATCTCCACTGAGAACAACAGCATCAGTGACCCTGAGCTAGTTTCTTTGATCCTTC